CGCTAAGTCAGGGATAACTACCATTTCGTTTTGTGTTAAGAACATTGTATAGCGACTTTACCCAAACTCTAGTGCTTATAAAATATTGTTTGGTCAAGGTTTATTTAACAGCTTTTTACAATGTGTGGAATTTTAAATCTTGCTTGAAGTTTATTATTTATTTTTGTCTAGTTTTTAACTGAAAAACATTTTATTTGTTGCCGCAGTCAGAACATTTTGTAAAAGTAGTGACCAACTCTGGCGGCTTTATGACTGTTTCTTCTTAACATAACCCTTGTATCGACTCGCTTTTGTCACATTAGTTTTTTTACACTAAGCTTCAACTTGCTGTAAAGAATAAAAAAAGAAAATTCTAGAAAAGATTCGAAAGCAAAACAGAGTAAAGGACAACAGCTTTATTTAGTTAAGGGATATAATACTTTTAGAAGAACTGATTATATTATATTATGTATGTTTTATATTAAAACTTTTAACCGCAACGCAGTAACATTCTCATTTGACGTCGGCAAGCCATTAAATAAATTTACTCACATTTTATGAAAAGCGTTAAAAAGACCTCTTCCTTTCTTTGAAAGGTTTCTTTATCTCTCCGTCGCGGTAAATTAACTTCGTATTCAGACGGTTTTAGTCTCAGACAATTTTATAGCTTCCTACCACATTAAATGACACGTTCAATATAGCCTTATAACACGTATTTATTATGCAAATATGACATTACCTCGAGTTTTACTGACCTTTAAAATATATTATTATTTTTAGGTTTTCCGCACGGACGTCCGCAACAGTAGAGGAATATCAATTGCGTTGCCGGCCTTTGAAAAAGAGATAGGCTCGCTTCTTGAAGGGCCCTAAGTCGTACAGGTTAAAAATACCAACAAGGATAGACCGAGCGTTCACAATGCAGCCGTTAGTGTAATAGAAAGTTTCATTTGTATTAATCTGTTAAAGTCTGTTAATTTTTACTTCAGACTTTGTTTTAAATTCTTAAATAAGTGAAAAAATCGAATGCCGTCAAATCCACGTGTTACTCAAATAGGAAAAATGTTATTTCAGTTATTTGGCGCTGGGTTATTTGATATGTTTCCCCAAAACTCTGTAAGCAACGGAGCAACGTAAATATACATCTTATTTTACTCTCAAGAAAATATTGGTTCGAAGAAAAACCTTGGCAAAGTTTACATTATACATGAAATGTTACTGCTCGATATTCCGTATTTTCATGTCATTGTGATTGTGCGGATGACACATCGATATTCAACATCTAATCTCATATCTCACTAATCTCATCAATCTAATCTAAATATGAAGTCTCCATATATATTTTCTACAATGAATCAGGAAATTAAAAATGACAATGTAAATTATAATAAAATGTTTAGTAAATTTAACAATAATGTTGCCGTAAACTAATTTTGAACAGTACTATTATCCGCTTCTTGTGAAAGTTTTGCTACTTCAATATTGAAACTACGAGAGAACACTCCAAGTATCACCAGATTTTGCTCAAAGTTATTGCTAAAACTAAAATGTATTTTGTATTAAAAGTGTATCTACATATTTTGCAATTTTAGGCATTTACGTAAGAATTAGATATACTTATATTACATTAGGCTTTATATTTATAATGATATATTATTAAATACTATACCTGTCGCCTGCGACTCCGTCTACGCGGAGTTTGAAATAAAATTTAATCAGTGGCCTTTGTCTTCTTTCAAGCTATGTTATACATCTATGCAAAATCATCTAACCGTCTTTCCGCCTATCCATTCTTCCATCCCACCATCCATCTAAGCCTAAGATGTTAGTAAGATTAGCCCAACGAGGCGCTGTAGGTATCTTGTAGTAAATATAGATACAATTTTTGGTACGAAAAAACATAAGATTTTCATAATTTATGTGTTTACGTTGCAATGAAGTACATTTCTATGTAGTTAACATTCATGTTGTTTTTAAATAACGTTACACTATAATGTAAAAGTACTTAAGATTTGTAACAGTCATTGGCTAATTCTTTATTTATGTTAAATTTCTCAATTAGAAGGGAAAGTATTTAAGTGTTAAATTTTCTTTGATACAATTCACGGCTGGCAAAAGCGGCGTAATTACAAAACTCTGGCGAAAGTTTTATAACAGAATTATTGAATCGAGCAGCGAATTTCCAAGTTAAATTGTGTGGTAATAAGATATACCTTTGCGATTTTCGTCTATACAAACCCAGCCCACAAGATTTACCTATGTTTTAGAACAAATAACTGAAACACGAGAAACATAAAATATATATTAGTAGAAGAAATATATGAGTAAAATTATTATTCACTAGCTGTCGCCCGCGACTTCGTCGGCGCGAAACAAAGAAATGGTCAAATGAGTAGCCTATGTGTTCTTCTAGATTATGTTCTACACCTACGCGAAATTTCGTCAAGATCTGTTGAGCCGTTTCGGAGACACGATTCAAACCATTTAAACATTCGCATTTATAATATTAGTATGATTAATTTAATGTTTATTAAGTCTATGATAGAAATGAGTAAGGTATTTCAGTTGTATTGTAAATATCCATATAAAATAACATGTAAAGCGGTTGTTAAGCAGATTGTCGGATAAGTTTGTGCATTGTTTATTTTATTGTAACCGCACATTATTATCGAAATGGACGGCGCGCTGTAGAGCTCCCACAAGACTCGTTATAAACAGGTTATTAGACTTTCCTTCCTTATTTATAACAGTCCTAATTGTTATTTCCTACACTTAATTTGTATTTATGTAGATTAATTTAATATTTTATACTGTATCCACAATGTAAGAGTTTTTAAGTAATTAAAAATGTGCCGGTTAATTTTTTACTAAGAATAAACTAACGTAAGTTTAAATGTTTAACTTTGTTAACTTTCCGTCTCATTAACTTATTGGAAACAAAGAATGTATTCTCCGCTCAATTGGTATTCAATATTGTCTTGTGTGGGCTATTGAAAGGAAGAAAATCCGACACTGTGCCGATGTACTGGCAGCACTAGCCTTACTAATGTCGTCGTTTATGTCCCCTCACTAATCCTTCTGACACTGGACTTTGTAACCAAAGGATTCTAAGAAATAATGTTTAAAACTATCTACCATTTTATTATTTGGTTATAAAAATTATCAGAAACATATTTCATTATATAAAATTATCGAAAACGTGTTTCCTTTTTTTATTTCTGTCAGCCGCATTCTCGCAATGTTTACGTTATCGCGACTTTAATATTGCCAATTTTATTCTTCTGGCGTACGCCTCTTTATTTGATATATGTTTCTGTGAATTTGTGTAATCAGTGCAACATAAATAATCATATTTATTTTTCCAATTATTTAATTTTGTTGCAAACAGAAGTCTGTACAATTTTTTTTTGCAAAAATTTGGAGATTAGTCAGTTACAAGGTCTTCGTAGATGGAGTTTAATCCTGGGTTTCTTAGACCAAAATCCACATTTAAAACATCTTTGTAATGTCAAAGTTTTATACAGAATACAGATATTTCAGAAATCTATCTTACTTTATATGTAATTCGTCAGCGCATGAAAAATATTTTCTTACCTAGAAAATGTTATCTAGTAAATGATTGACGAGACATGTCGCAGGCTAACAAAATAAGTGACATGGAATGACACGTGTGTGTCACGTTGCGATTGACACTCATATTTCTTGTGTGTATATTTTTTAACAATGAAGCATATACAGGGTGGATTATTTTTGTATTTGTGGCCGATTGGTAAGCAGTTTTTTTTTTCGAGGATGTGATTACATTTGTTTGTGGCCTACTGTGGCCTAGATGTTTATGATTTTTACAATATCATTGCCAGTTTTTCATTTTTAATTTCTAGTTATAGTACGTTTTTTTCACTAGTATTTAAAGGTTTTTTTAATGAATATATAATAGATTAGTGAATGTAATTTCCTAAATATCTTTTCAGTCTCCGAGTTCATTTAACTTTGTCCAAACTTTTTGATGAAACGTTTACATGTTTATTCAACACGCGAACTCCCCGCGTACTTTTTCAATATGACTCGGCTTTGTGATACTTTTGTGCTTGAACATAAATTCTCTTGGAACTGGCGGCAACCTCTATTTGTTATTAGTTTTGTTTTACTCCACTGATGAGACAAGACATTCTTCTAGACAAACTTTTTTGATTTCATATAAATAGTCGAAGGTCAAGGCGACTGGTTAAGACAACATACTACAAAAATCTTTGTTTATATAAAATTATTGTAACATTTATTTTGTTATAAATGATAATGTATATAATATCGCTTGATACGAAACAAACTTGATATTACGTTTACGACTTAAAAGGATTGGCTATGGGCATTTTATGGAAACCATTTTGAAATGATTAGCAATGTTGTAATGCAACATTTTATTGCGAAACTTTTCCCGTATAAATTGGTAGAAGAAAACAAATTAAAGTATTTCGGTTACCGAACGATTTCACTTCAAATAATCTTCGGTTTGTGTTGAAGTTGGCAACTTTCCGCAGTCGTTCGCTTTGTAATTATGCTGTTTGAATTGAGATTATACTTTACATTACATTGAGGTAAGAGCTTTAAGTTTTATACAAATATTGCTGCCTTTACGATTTTGCTTCCCTTTCAACTGTATTCTTAACTTCTTGCTTAATTATCGGGATTGTTGCCGAAAGTCAATTTATTTTTTAATTAAAACATGATCATCATTAGCTAAACGTCCCCACTGAGGAGCTCGGAGTGTACCCAAAGTCACGAGTGACTAGGCCATAGTCAACCACACTGACCCAGTGCGGATTGGTTGACTTCACACGTATCATTCAATACATTTGTAAATCGGAAAATCGAAAAACACATTGGTACATGACGGGATTCGAACCCAGGATCTGCAGATTGCAAGTTAAGTGCTTGACTCCTGGGCCACCGACGCTCTTAGAGAAAATTAAGAAACAAAAATAGCAAAAAAATTGAATCTGACGCAAGAAAACGACATTAAATCTATTTAAAAACTGAAATTTATTACGTGAAAAATTTAGGCAGCTGTACTGAGACTATCGGCCATTTTGAGCAAAATACTTCTCAACAAATTCGCAACTATCGGATAATTTTGACCCAAGAGAGATACTCGAAGCTGAGGCACGCAAATCTGTAAAGTAAATATTATCAACTATTTATTTATTTTATAATGATTGTTCGTTAAAATTTTCTTTCAAAAGGTAAAATTCAAAGATTAATCATTTTAAAAATAAAAATTGCTGGATTAATAACATCGTTCTATTTTTTAAATAAAACATGATGTAGATACCGTTGTCTGTATACATCATGTTTTATTTTTTGTAAAACGATGAAAGGATTCATTCAAGTCGTTCACTTTCAGAGCACAATTTGCTTGAGATTTGCATTTGCGTTGCACGAGGGAACAACAACTGTATTCATGAAGTATTGAATAGAGGAAGAACGTTCTTTTCTTATTAAATAAAACGTTATGAAGCTTTTGTGTACGCCGCAGTCAAATTAAAATCCTGTTTATTCATTTCTCGTATCTTCTAAACGCTAAGCTTTTTACTTTACATTTTCCTACATTATCTAAGTTTTAGGATTAAGTGATTGTTATAAAACATTATTGGCTAATATTACATTTTTAATGTATTTCACATCTTTTGTACCTACTGAGTAAGCTAAAGGTATAATATAAAAAGACGATGCTGCTTACATTTACACAAAGTTTACTATATAATTCTAAGATGATACACATTTAACAAGTTCAATAATAATATCTTACAACAGCGAGGAGGACGAACAGGAGTGGACAGAGTAGGTTGACAACCAGAGCGAACAGCGTTCGCGCCAGCCACCACAGACCAAACACGATAAGAACGCTGCCCACCATAATCTGTTATATTAACAAAAATATAGAACAGAGCGATAATACATTATGACAATTGATTATTTAATAATCAAGAGTAACCTGAGCTTCTTCATGCGTTTGCAGCCAGGATCTAAATAATTCGACGGCTTTTTTAGATTCACTTGCGTATTGATTACATGATGCTTGAGACATACTTAACTAGAAAATTAAAAATAAATAGTTGCATTTATAGAAAAGTAAATACAGGAGACATGTGATAATGTTTAATATACAAAATTAATACGTACAGTGCGACCCACAAATGATTTCTCCCAGGGATCCATTATATAATTGCCTTCGGAAACACTGTTTAGAATATGCGCTGAAGTAATAAGTGATAACAAGAGACTTCTCTTTAAACATCGACGGTCTGGAATAAAGCATATTTAAAAGCAATAAACAATACGTATCCCCGTAATCCCTATAACTATAAGAAGAAATAACAGTCCTAAACTAAGTAAAGAATAACATATTTGTCTGGTCATATTAATTATGCACGGTCCAATTACAACAAAAGTCCAAGATATATAAATTGATCCGCTTTCTTTCTTCACTAACGTTATCATTACATATATATGATTAATATATTTGTTGGCAATAGATTAATTATCATGCTATTACTGGATTACATTGATTTGATTGCTCTGAGTCATTCAACCATTACAATAACAGGAATATAGAAATTATTTTGTTTATCTTATGACTGATTGTCATATGTTAAGTACTAATGTTAGAAATAATGGTATTATACTAAAATAACATGTAATATAGGTAGGGATCTTGTAACTTGTGTGCTGGTGGATATTTACGCAACTTTACTAATATTATAAATGCGAAAGTTTAAGTGAATGGCCATTCACTTAAACTTTTTTTACTACTTAAACTTTAACAAGTGCGAACAACATCCATATGTTTGTTTAAACGTATGTATCTCCTGAACGGCACAACACTGACGTAGGACATAGTCTGGAAGAACGTCTAGGCTATTTATTAGTTTTTTTTTAAATTCCGCGCAGACGAAGTCGTTTTCGACAGCTATTTTTCGTAAACCAAGCATAGATTAGACTTTTTTTTATTCTTCAAAATATTAATTTAGAAGTAGAAGTGGTGTCAGACTTAGTTTAAAAATGCTAAATATCTTAACTACAAAAATCTGTCTTTCAATACTAAATCTGAATATTCAAAGTCTGTCAAAAAGGAATACGATATAAATGTTATAAAGACCTGGAATTGATATAATTTGTAACATGGCGATGAGAACTGATTGGCCATTTTTGTTATTTTAAATCACAGCGTATAAAATAATTACATAACTGTTCTCTCACGCTTCGATATTCCACAAAATCGATATTTCATTTTTTGACGTGAGGTTTTTAATTCAATTTTCGCTATTGACATATTTGACATATTTGTAAAATTGATTTTTTTTTTATAACAAATTTGGTTTAAACAAAAAAGTTTGTACAGTCAGAGAACGAAACGAAAAAATAAAATAAAAAATGGTGCAATCACTGGCCTCTTAACCTTGACAGGCTATAAACCGTGGTACGTTGTGCCTTTTCGATATTCGCCATTTTGAATTCGAACTAAGAGATAAAATTAACTGTCAGGAACTTCAACAGACGAGTTTGAAGCACAAGCTGGCATTTCCAAACCAAGGATCAGTAACTTTAATCAATAAAACACAGAAATATTTTGACAAATTTTGATTTATTACGATATCTGTAATTTAAATATTTTTGTTCAATCACGTTTATCTGTTGATCTATGTAATACAATATGAGGAAGAAAATATTATACTACGGCTTAGTGAGAATAATAACAACATTTCAAATATCTGTGTTGGAATGTTTACAATCCTTATATAAATGCTAACATTAATAAATTAGTTATATACTAATATTTATTATATATTTTTCACAATAAAAGCATATAATATACAATTATGTACAATTTTTATATCTTATTTATATACTTTCTGTTCACATAAATAACAAATTAGATGAAAATTAAAAATATTTTAGTCAACTTAACGTATAATTTCTTCACTCCTCATTTCAATGCTTTTTATACTGTTTAATGGATTAAAATAAGTTTAATGGTTTAAAATATAATCTTGATTAATATTCCTATATATTATAACATTGATATGATAGCAATCATAAATAAACAAGGTTTTTATAGAACTATAAGTATAGTTTAAATATTACAAAAAGTTCTTTCAGATTAATAACCTTTTAAGTGTTTACAAAGAGACTAAAAAGTCCAATGAAAAGAGAATATGGATATTGTATACTATAGATGCATTAAAAGTTTTTTTTCTTAAATTGAAAGTAGTTCCTATTGTTAAATGTAAAGATCTAATAGTAACTGCAGTTTTATGAAATTGCTAATAACTTCTTTATTATTATATAAAAAGCGTAAATATAAAGTATATAATTTTTATGACTGTTGTATGGAAGCAAAGATAATATCTCCATTCACAATATTTACAGTAACACTTAAACGTATATTTACAACAAATGTATTTACTAAACGTCTTTTATATTCGCTATGTATTATATAAGAGTATGTATTTTTATAGAGATCTTTATGAAATATATATTTTTTTAACAATAAAATTTATAATAACATTAATAAATCAATATTTATTTTAATAAAATAACGTTACACTTTACCTGTCTTCTTGAAAGTTCTTAAAATAACAATGACAAATTTTATTATTAAATTATTTAAATTATAATGTCTTACAATTCCTATTCTATACACAAAAAAGTTTGCATTAACAAACACATATGATATGCTTCATTATGACGTAATATTATCTATAGTTTTCTTCCTAATCTTATTAAACTAATAATCACAGAAAAGACTAGCATGAACATATTTTTTGCTATAGAATAACTGTAGAATAATTTGAATACTGTTTCAATATTGCAATTCAATACCGCAACTGCAAACAATCTTATTATTATAAATATAATCTTAAATTGTAATTAAAATCAATTTTAACAAAATTAACAAAATATATTGTGGAGTATTGCTTTTAATAAATTATATATCTTAATGAATACTTTGTGGTTATAAGTACAGACGTATTGTTTAATAATTTACACTGTCACTTCTTCTGTGAAACGACTTTTGTCATCTAAATTGATAACAATTGCGTGAGTCCTCGCGTGACCTGAGCGCACACCTCTCACTGATTCTGAAGCACTAGGACTCGTTCTTGTTTCACTTCTTTCACTCGTACTTGTGCTCGGAACATTTCTATTAGATGTACTCGTGCTCGGAACATTTCTGTTAGCTGTACTAGTGCTGGGTATATCTCTGTCTGACGTACTAGTGCTTGGTACATTTCTGCTGTCTGTACTTGTACTAGGTACATTTCTATTAGCTGTACTAGTACACGGTAAATTCCTGTCTATTGTACTAGTGCTTGGTATGTTTCTGTTGTCTGTACTTATACTAGGTAAATTTCTATTAGCAGAACTAGTACTCGGTAAATTTCTGTTACTTGTACCAGTACATGGTAAATTTCTGTCTGTCGTACTAGTGCTCGGTACATTCCTGTCTGTACTTGTACTAGGTAAGTTTCTATTAGCAGAACTTGTACTTGGTAAATTTCTGCTTGTACTAGTGCTGAGTGTATTTCTATTAGCTGAACTTGTGCTCGGTGCATTTATGTTAGACACGTCTGGAGGTCGAACGTCGCTGCAATTAGCTTCGCCGGATATTCTAAAAACACAATTTTGTGTTTCATCCTTGGATTCCTGGTCGTCTTTCTTCTTCGGAGAGTCAGTTGTGACGTCAGTTTGACTTTGTTCTGCATTGCTGGTTTCCCCGCTCTTTGTTGGGGTTGCTCTTTGTCTATAAGCCGGTGGTGCTTCAAATACTATATCTCTGCCACTGCTACTCGACTCTTCGCCCGGTGTAACGTTGCACATGAGTCGTCCGGCAACTGCGTTGAACACGTTGTTCAATCGTAAAGGTGCTGAGTGTTCGTTTGTGTTGCCTCTGCGTTCGTTACGGATGGCGGCGTCTTGCATCTCAGTGATACATCTTGCAATATTAGAACTGGAGCCGCAACGCTCTCGTAGTTTATCGAGTTGATTGCAAAGCTTTTTAAATTCCTCCTAATAAAAAAAAACACGACATTTTTAGATATTTTTCAAACGAATAAATGCAAAGAAGAAGACGAAGGAGTTATAATTATAATTTTATTACCTCTAACTCCCTTTCAGTCATATTGTCACAAAAATGTGTGTTGTTTGTTGTCATAGTGTAGGTAGAGTCAGCGGGACGGGTGCGGAACTTGCCTGTCTTCTCCCTGTCCTCTTTGCCGTGCCCTCTGAACACCATGTACGCCTGCAATAACATAACACGTTGTCATAACCAGCTTCCTTCCTACATAAAATAAACTGACACCAAAAACAACTGCCTAATATGGCATATCTCTTTAATCTTGTATTTTAAAGTAGTATATCAATTATTTTTCCCAATAATATAATTAATTTTTTTAAGTCTGATTATGTGGATGAAGTAAGCAATTTATGTTCACGATTATCGTACTTTGGATCAAAAGGGAATCTTCGAATCCTAGAAATTCTGGTAATATTTCCTTGTTTGATTTGATTTTCGTCATACTCCGACCACTTGGAACAGTTAATAGTGACTGTAACAGACCGTGTACATCGGCCTTTATCCGATACTTTATAAATATAATGCTAATGGATACTCAAGGTGCAATCATGTTATAGCTAAATGAAATTTATCTAAAATATTCGTACCTTACTTCCAAATATGAACAACAAGAGTAATGTTACTGTCAACTGTGTATGACAGAAAAATATAATGTAGAGCAGATCCGGATTCGCTGGAGATTGTAAAAACAACCTGAAAGATAAGATTATGTCAATAACATAAAAGCTATAGAACTATTCTGTGTTAGAAGAATTGAAATCGTATATATATAAAAGAAAGTCGTGTTAGTTACACTATTTATAAGTCAAGAACGGCTTTAACGATATGGCTGAAAATTAGTGAGGAGGTAGCTTAGTGCCAGGAGACGGACTTAGGATGTTATTTATTAGTTTTTTATTTATAATATTTTTTTCGAATTTATATATTGATGAGCTGTTTTTTATTTAACTAACCTATTTTATAAATGCGAATGATATTAGTAAGTTAAATAAAAAACAGCTCTTCAAGATGGATGTGTAGGCTACACTAATTAAGTTTTTTTATATATCCACGCGGACGGAGTCGCGGGCGACAGCTAGTATTGTATAAATGAAGAATAAATTATTAAATATAACAATAATAACTTTAGTTCAATAACATATATGGTATACGGGTTTATATCTTTGTTTTAATATGTTGTATATGACAATATTTTCCACTAAAGAAATACAATGCCTAGAAAACCGCAATCACGCTTGTCTACTTCATAAGTTGACATGGTACATAAAATAATATTTCTATTTCCTATAACATTTATTTTTCTCCAGCTTTTTGTGCTTTAATAAAACGTATACTTTCTTACGGTGAAGAAATTCAAAGATATATATGAGGTCATCGAACCCGCCCTGGGCCAACGTGGTTGACTATGGCCTAGTCAACCTTAAACCGGCTAGGCTCTGACCTTGATGGGGGCGTATAATGAGCTGACAAAGAAAATGTACACAGCCTGGGATTTTCTTCTATAAGTCCTTTGACACTCATAATTCTAATACGTATAAAACTTGATATAGAAACTTATATACATGCTAAAATAGCTCATGTTTTAACAGTTAGGTTTACAAGACCCAAGGTGTAATCATTTTGTTATTGTACAATTTTTCACAATATTCTTTTTGAGAGTAATCACTTAACATTTTGTATTGTTAGGATCAATTTAATTACGGTATTCAGCTGAAGCAAGCCTTTTAACCTGATTGAAATTAACTTGAGCAATATGTTGTGGGTCTTGATGCATAGATACGTTTGTAACTAATTACTTATACATATGTGTACAATACAATAGTCGTTATATTAGTTTCGTAAGCATTCCGAACGTACCTTAGAGTACTGTCATTGAAGTTATTACGAAAATATGTAAAATTAGAACTTAATAATGTATTTATTCTGATAAAATGTAGTAGTGATAACCTTGAAAAGTAATGTTTTCTTTACATAAGATTAGAATTAAGATCTTGCATATCATTAAATTTTTTTTACTTTTCACATATTTTTGTTTTTAGCCAGCATATTTTTCGTATTTGTTTCTTTAATCCTAAGGTTTTCATACTACAGCTGCAGCACATTACCTACATATAATTAAATTTACACTCACATAGATATATTGAGGAAACCAGAGAGTAAGAACTCATTGTAGATGGCCATAGAGATGAA